CTTACCCAGTTCACAAGGGTTTAGGGGTTTAGGGTTTAGGGGTTTCGGGTTTAGGGTTTAGGGTTGAAGGTTTTAGGGGTTTAGGGTTTTAGGGGTTTAGGGGTTAGGGCTGGCTCTCTCTAGTGTAAAGTTACCTATAGAGGGGTTTAGGGCTAAGGGTTTACGACGGGGAGTTTTGATAATATAGGGGCCTAAATAATTACCAATAATACTATTTTTTGGAGGTTCCTAATTCATTTTGGTATAGTGGGCCTCAAAACCCTGTTCTAATTCTTAAGGCCTCTCTGTAGGGGCTCTCTGTAAGGGTGTCTCTAAGCAGGGTTTATGGGCTTATGGGCTTATATTGGGCTTTAGGGTTTAGGGCATAGGGCTCATGATCATGATCGTGCGTTTGTCTAGGGGTTCTCTAATGAAGGGTTCTCGAAGTAGGGCTCTATGGGCGTATAGCGCTTATAGGGCCTCTGATTATGACTATTCTCTAAAGTTTCCTGTATCTAAGTAGGGTTAATGGGTTTGGAGGCGCTTTAGGGTTTGTAGGGCTTCTGGAAGATTTGCTTATAGGTTTTCTGAGCGGTCTTCATGGGTCTCTAACCCTAATGCCCCAACACCCGGGCAGGAGCCCCCGAAGTTCCGAAACATCCCTCCCGCGCCACGCAGGTGGCCCGGTCTACGTCCGCCGGATGCCCAGGGGGCGCTTGCAGTAGGGGATGCATTCCGGATCTTTGAAGTTTCAACCTTGCAAACCAGCTTTGTCAGGCTTGAACGGCCTGAGTTCTGGAAACCACGACCAATGAAGCACAATGTCACGAAAGAACGACGGGATTTTCCCGAAATTCCATTGCCTCTGCATCGAGGAACATACTGTACCTCATAGACTCGTCCGTAGTAGGTGTCCTATATAACCATATGAACCCCAAAGCAAACCGATCTTTGCCGTGAGGATTCCTGAACATGTGTAGGATGATAGCGCGATGGTACGCTTCATCTCGGTCGCGCTCGCGACCCTTGCAGCCACCCTATGTGTCACAGCAGGGGGTTCGGAGCACCGTCCGCTCCGGTGGGACGAGCATCCAGTGAAGAACAGGGGCACCAGCAGATAGCAGACATCTTGATGAAGCACCTCGCGACCGATTGAGGCCCTGGACACATGGACACGGTCGAGGGCCAGGAGTGCACAGGGCCTGGCTTAGGTGGCAACATCCACGGCACCTCCACGCACATATGCAACAGAAACCACGCTCCAGAGAAAAGTGATGGGCAGGTTCCAGAGAGGCAAGGTTGCAAGAGCGGCCCGAAGGAAAGGTGCTCTTTGTATATACGCAGTTTCTGCGTGGCGTGTGTGTGTGTGTCAGAAGCATATATATATATATATACATATATATATATATATATCGCAGTCATACATACATACATACATACATACATACATACATACATACATATACATACATACCTTACATACATATCATATACATGTGTGTGTGTGTGTGCGAGGCGTCTCTGTCTGTCTCTGTCTCTGCATCGATCTCTCTATCCCTTTCTCTGTTCGAGGGCAAGCAAGTCAGCAAGCAAGCGAGCGATCGAGGATGTTGTCAAGCAGAGCATGGGGTTTGCAGTGGTGAGAATTTAGCAAGGGCATGCATAGGCCGCGCCTGATCGTAACACGACACTCACAAGATCTTCAAACAGCGTGAACAGAACTATGTAAACATGTGCAGAAGCCTAACTGATAATCAACCCCGTTATAGGTCAAGAGTCAAGACCTTAAAGTCCTCAACCTTACTTCGGGCTTTAGCTATTGAGGTTGCCATTCCGACCAACACGACGGCCACGACCGCCCCTCCCAATCCGGTGCTCCGGACGAACCGGGGTGCGCAAGACTCAGCCGCCGGCTCTGTGTGAGCTTCAGGGTTCAAGGATTTGAGCCTTGCGCTTGTCGTTTTGATCGTTTTGTAGGTTGTTTCGTGTTTGTGTCCCAGAGGTTTAGCACGGTGCCGAGCCTTACTTGTAGGTACAAGCTCGAACCGTAGTTCGCACAGCGAAGATCGCACATGAATTTTGCAACGAAGCTTGATTAGCATTTGCCCGATGCTGTAAATCCCAAACCCTAGGCCCTAACCCTGAGACTTGGACACTACTATAAAGGCCGAAATAACTGCCAATACTTTTTTTTTGTTGGAGGAGGGGGGGTCCTTATTATAGATATAGTATACTGGACACCAAAACCCTAGTCTAATTATATTATTAAGGCCCCTATATTACACCCTTGTAGAACCCTTGTAATAACTCTTATAGTAAGCGTTTAAAGGAACCCTATTCTAATGCTTAAGGCACCCGCATTAATGCAGCCAGCACTGCTTGTTCTTCCGGCAGCTCCTCCGATAGGCGCACATGTGCTCGAGCGCCAAGAGGGGTTTAGGGTTAAGTGTTTACGACGGCGAGTATTGATAATGATAGCAGCCAAATGGGGTTTAGGGCTTAGGGCCCAGATGATTGACAATGGTTTGTCTTTCTCGTGCCTATGTATCCCGCATAAAGTATAAAATGCCACCCCCCAACACGTTGTTCAAGTTGTGACGGCCCCTTTTCCAGGCATGCCCGAACCCTAAACCCCTAATCTTTGTTCGGACTACACATCCTGCTAGCTATCCTACTTCACCCTAAACCCTCAACCGGAACCCCAAACCTGTGATACTCAGAAGCAGTTTGCTAAAAGGAACCCTAATTTAGAAAACTACCAGTCTAGAAACCCTTATTGGATCCCTTTAAGGAACCCTGACTAAACCCTAAACCCTAAACCCTAAACCCAACCCTAAACCCTAAACCCTACTCTTTGAAACGCTGCAGGTCGCCGCCGAAGCTTCAGCTGCCAGGCTGGTGCAAAACCGGACAGAGGCGCCTTCGGGAGTCGAGGATCCGTGTTTTAAATGTAGGGGGCCTTAATAATTAGAATAGGGTCCCCTTAAAGGGATCCCCCTTTATAAGTTCTAAGGGCTCTACCGGAAGAGGTAATGTAGGGGCCTCAATAATTTGAATAGGGTCCCCTTAAAAGGATCCTTGAAGGGTTCCTTCCGGAGTTCTATAAGGGATCTACCATAAGAGGTAATGTAGGGGGGCCTTTATAATTAGAAAAGGGTTCCTTTAAAGGGGTACTATAAGGGCTAATACAATAAGGCTTCTATAAGGGTTTAACGTGGGGGCCTTAATAGCTAGAAGAGGGTTCCTTTAAAGGGTTACTATAAGGGCTATTATAACAACGGTTCTATAACGGTTTCATGTGTGGGCCGTAATGATTAGAATAGGGTTTGGGGGGTTCCTTAGTATAGTTATAGTATATGTTTTACCCCTCAAACCCTAGTCTCATTATTACGGCCCCTACATTAAAGATTCAGGGCCGGTTTAGGGATTCTTGGCTTTTGTCATTTTCCTACGCTCGCACGTAGTGTCCGACTCCTTTGGGGGTTGCATGTGGCGCTCTGGACCTGCGGGACCGCAACGCGAGTGAGTGAGTGAGTGAGTAAGTGAGTGAGTGAGTGTGTGAGGCAGTGAGTGTGCGTTTTATGGTTTAGGGGTTTTGGTTTCCAGCCATATATAGTTGAATCGGTCAGACATCGATCAATATGTTCCGAGGACTTGGATATGTTCCGTGAAGCGTAACACCGAACACGAGTGGTGGAGAGAGTTTTGGAAGTTGGATGTTTGGCATCGGGGTTTGAAGATTTTAGAGAGCTCGGAACATATCAAGTGAAACAGGGCGTGGTGACCTGCAAAGTACGACACCCTGAATTGTGAAACCGATTTTCATGCACCATGGCATTCTAGTAGATACCCATAGGCCTCATAGTTTTGGGATTGCCTAATAGGATTCCTAAATATAAGCCACAAAAAGGAACTACTATGGGGCCTATGGGTAGGGACATCTTGAAGGTGGAGAAGCTGCAGAGACAGAAGGAAGAGGTCCTGCAGAGCCAGATCGATGAGGCTCCCTATCCTTAAAGGTTCAGGGGACTTGGTAAGTAATGTAGGGGCCTTAATAATTAGACTAGGGTTTTGGGGGTTCCTGATTATGACTATAGTATGATATACCCCCCCAAACCCTATCCTAATTATTAAGGCCCCTTTGGTGGTTTAGCGTGCAGTCATACGGTCGCTCAGATTCCTTGCGCACGCCTGCAGTTTAGGGTTTCAGGGCTCCAAGTAATAAAAACAGCACTTGGCCCTGCCAAGGGGATGATCAGTACGGACATGATAAGGTGACCCTATAGGTCATTTTCCTCTTGGGCTCGTTGCGCTTGAGCTTTGAGTTTCCTGTGCTTCTGAGCTCGTGGGACCATTAGCATGGCATGCGGGGCTGTGTTTAACATAAGGGCCTAAACAACTACCAGCACTGTTTGAGGAGCTCCTGATTATAATTGTCGTATAATATACCCAAAACCCTATTCTAATTATTAAGGCCCCTACATTCGAGTCTGCAGGGCTAGAGGCCATGAACCAAGCTCCCACCCACAGATCGCTTCTGAGAGGGTGTGCTGCTTGTTTGCCCGAAAATGTACCGCATGTCGTACTCACGAGTTCGTCGGATTTGGGTTAAGGTTCAGGATGTACGTGACCATGTAGAGGGTTTGCTACTCAACTGCTCGACCTCTTCAGAGATGGGAACTGTTTACGATCAGCACTTGTCTGGGTGGGGGGTGGGGTTTCCGCGGGACTTGAAAGTGCGGGCTTGAACTCATGGTTCGGGCTTCCTGTGAAGTCTTGCCTAACCTGTCAACGCCACCCGAGCCCCCCAAATAGCTTTATAAGATTTGTTTAAGGATTCATCTGAAGAAAATCAGAAGCTCATCTGGGGAACTGCGAATAAGGAGCCCTAAAAGGGTACTTCGGATTGCCTCGACAGGTGGCAGTGTCGGCCCTGCCCCGCAAGGGCAAACTGAGCCTGCAGTTGGCCAGCCGAGCGGCCGGAGGTGCTTTGCGCAACGCCCCATGGCTGTGGCAGTTGGGAGCTTGAGTAGAATACCAAAAGCGCATACGAACAGAAGTTGCAAGTGCTGAAACCTACCCCCTCATAGGGATATTACCTCCAGTCTAAGGCATCCGCTGGCACTTCTTCCACGGCCAAGGTCGTGGCGGCTAGCATTACAGGCATGAATACGAGTTACACTTTAGGCTCTAAGCCCTGAGCGTGATTGAGAAGTACAGTTGATGATATAAATCCTGCATTACCCCTAATTCCCATACTTTAGGGTCCTTGACTCGACGTAATGCAGGATTTATATCATCAACAGTATGCGTAAAATCGGAAATCCGAAAGACTACTCCCTGAACACTAAGCAAGGACGTAGGGTGTAGGGATGAGGGGTGGAGAGCCCACTGCGCTGAATGCTGCATGTCATAAATTGGACTCCGCTGTAGAAAAGATCTCTAGACCCCTCAACTCTACAGCCCTAATATAGAAGCCTAAATAACTACCAATACGACTTTGGCGGTTCCTTCTTATGAGTGTAGTACATACCCCAAAACCCTATTTTTTTCAGGCCCCCACATTAAACCTCGAAGCCCGAGCCTTCTGAACCCCAAAAAACTACACTTCTGCCCTCCTAAGCCTCACACTCCGCAAGATCCAACTCCTCTTGATCAAGAAAGAGACCTGAAAATGTAAGAGGCTTCCTTCATGTGTGTTAGTATATCGTTTAGCTATAGCACCCTGTAGACCCCAAAAGCCGAAAACAGACCCTAGCATTCCATGCTGTCGAAATATCTGACGCAACCTTAATTCAACCATTATCTCTTAGTAACAGAAGTTTATTCTTCAACTTGTGTTAAATTGATATAAAAATATAAAATATACTATGTACCAACCTCCTCCCGAACGCGCCAGCTTTTGGAGTCTACGGCCGCCTCGACGGCGCCGTCTCCATCCAAAGTCGCTCCTGGGCTCCATGAGGGTAGTTCTCTCAAGTAGGGCCCCTTTTTTGGGTCCCCAAACAGTAAGGCACACTTATAAAAAGGACCCCGAAAGGGACCCTAATTTACAGAACTACCCATGCGTGAAAAAACAAGGGGCTTCTACGAAGGTTCAATGCGCGGTGCAAAGGAGGGTATAGGGGTTGTATACGAACCTAAACCCACAAAAACCCTCGAGGTTAGGGGTTAGTTTCTAGGGTTTAGGGCTAGCTACGGAGTATCCCGAACCTTGTTTCGGGAGGAGGCACCACTTCAAGAACATTCCTCAACGAAGGGGCTTGGCGTCTTTGGGGTTAGGCAGCGTATGGCAAGCCATATGAACTCCGAACCATTGGTCCCCTTACAGTTCATATATAACCATTCCAAAATATGTTGCTAACCCTTTCTTATCATGAAGGCCAGTATGTGCAAGCCTATGAGCCTGTCTAAACCCCCAAAGGAAAACCTACTTCTTACAGTCCTACTTTGTCAGGTGCCTGCTACCACCACGGCTGCGGCTGAGCCGAAAACCTCACGACCGAGTGCGGCGACTTGGCATACGCTACAGGAGCTGTAGCAATTAGAATGTATTTTCTTCAAGTTTTACAAGGTATATCGAGGTTTATCAGGGTTCTACGGGGTTTAGTATAGGGATCCTAATGATTATAGAGTCGCATTTAGGGACTAGCAGGGATTCCATTACGAATTATGTATTCCTTGATTGAGGGGTTTTGGAGTTTCTGGATCACTATAGCTCCTCCTTTCGTAGGATCTTAGTATCAGCCCTGACAGAGACTTCATGGGCGGAGCGCTACACGATATAGTGAGTTGTGGTGGTGCATGGTGAGCCCTTTTATGGGGCCTGGGTCATTGCTTCAAATATTTCCTTCTAGCCGCTATAATATCATACGATGGTAGCTGCCAAAACGTTCATGTTTTCCAGAAAATATCATACTGTGGTAGCTACGAAAACTCTTTTCTACTTGCTCCGGTCAGTATGCTCCTGGTCATATGGGTGGTTCCACCCAATTAGGGTCCCTATTTAGATTCCCAGTATAGTACGGCACCCTTATAAAAAGAGGACCCTAAAAGAGACCCTAATTTAGAAAACTACCCTTATAGAAACCTTTATAGACCCTTTTACGGAGCCCTAAAAAGGACCCTAAAAGGGACCCTAATGTAGAAGACTGCCTCTGTTACCTGCTTTCTCAGGCTCCTTCCAACACGACGACTGCAGCCGAGCGGAGATCTTCACGGCCGAGCGCAGCGACTGGGCATGCCATGTAGCTGTTGAACCGTGAGGGTTTAGGGTTTAGGGTCTAGGTTTTATGGTTTAGAGTTTAGGCAGAGAAGAATCGTGAGGGTGCTTCTTTGCTAAGGTCAAGCCTTTCGTCGGGGTTTATCAAGGTTTTGCAGGGCGTATCGGGGCCTCATGGATTAGACTAGGGTTTTGGAATCGTCTCGCACAGCTGCACAGGGATGTTTTTTAGAAGGGGATACCATTACTCTACCACTTACTATAGTAGGGGTGTTAATACTTACCTATATAATTTTTGAGGGTGGGGGGTCCTTACTATGTTTACAATATGATTAAACCCCAAAACTCTACTCTAATTGTAAAGGCCCTACACTGAACCCTTATAGAACCCAAAAAGCCCTTATAGTAACCCTTCAAAGGAACCCTATTCTAATTATTAAGGCCCCTACACTAAACCTTATAGGACCCTTACAATAACCCCTAAAGTATCCCTTTAAAAGGAACCCTATTCTAATTATTGAGGCCCCTACACTAAGCCTGTATAGAACCCCCAAACCCTAATAGTAACCCTTTAAAGGAACCCTATTCGAGCTGTTGGGGCGCCTACACTAAACCCTTATAGAACCCTTATAACCATCCTTATAGTATCCCTTTAAAGGACCCTATTCTAACTCTTAAGGCCCATCCACTAAACCCGTATAGAACCCAGAAGACCCCAATAGTATCCCTTATTCTAACTCTTAAGGCCCCAAAAGAACCCTTACAGCCATCCTTATAGTATCCCTTTAAAGGAACCCTATTCTAACTATTAAGGCCCCTATAGAACCCTTACCATCCTTATAGTATCCCTTTAAAGGAACCCTATTCTAACCCTTAAGGCCCCAAAAGAACACCGTCAAGACAGAAACTAGGGCTTCTGCTTTGGATTCTTGAGGCTCGCAAGGCCGTGGGGCTCAAGCTGGATAGTCTTAGGGGGGTTTAGGGATTTAGGGGTTTAGGGATTTAGGGGTTTAGGGTTTAGGGGTTTAGGGGTTTAGGGTTTAGGGGTTTAGCGGTTTAGGGATTCAGGGGTTTAG